TTCGTTCCACACTCGATTGCACTGCCCGTTAAAGCGGTGATACCTATTCTACAATAGTGTTGTAAGATGTAAGAAATATAGATCAACACAGTCGAATATGAGAAAAATAATCGACTATGATTCGTTAATTTTTTATGGCTTACATAAAGATTCTATAACAGATTCTGGCCACGAGTAATTTTGTCAAAACAAGAATAATAAAGAAGAGTTTACTGTCTCCTTTTATATATTTTGTCTCATTCTAACTTATTGAAGTTGGTAAAATCGACGGGTAAATCAAATTGGTTGTTATCTCGCAGATAGACTCTGTTTATCGGTTCATTATCTTATAGATAAGATCTCGCAGATAGACTCTGTTAAGTGGCGTGTATAATGAGATTTTAAAGCGTAAAACTTAAGTCTTAAACACTATCTAACACTATCTAACTACTTCTACAATAAGTCATTAAATCTTTAAATCTTAATAAGAAAATGACAAATTATAATCGATTATTCTTCTCATATTTGACTAATTAATTTCTTATGGCTTTTAAGACTTAAAGCTTAGATAATGACTTATTGTAGAAAGCCTATTCGCCATTCTACAATAAGCCATTAGTCATAAATCAGAAGTTAGAAGCTGGAAATTGACGACTGTGATTGATCAATTTCCAGCTTCTAACTTCTGATTTATGACTAATGGCTTATTGTAGAATGCGTGTATCACATTCGACTATGGTCAATTTTTCACGGCTTAGGGCTTAAACTTAAGTTCTATGCTTTAAAATCTCATTGTAGACTCTTCTTTATAGGGTTTCTAAGCTTTATGGCTTGCGACCTTATTGTAAAACAGGCTGATTGTCGGGGCGTGAAACGGAGCTGTTCCGTGCGATTAATTCACGAGTCGATCTTTTCTGTGTACCATAATTAAAGCTGTCAAACCACTCAACGCGCCTCACAATCGTCCCAAGCCCCTTCCGCTTCTACGCTGCCAATGGTAATCAAATCGGATGCATGCGATACGCAAACTTGCTCAATAACAACGATCGCGAATAAATTACATCATACCTGGAGCGTTGGGCGTTTTACAATCTACCGCGATAAATATCACGTTCTAAGTAACTGCCAATTAATTGTAATTATTGAAATTGTGCTACACTGAAAAAAAGTTCTACTAAATTTTAATAAATCATGTGTTTAAATCGTATCAATTAAATATTTACTAAATATAAATTGTATTCTTTGGCTTCTTTTTTACATAAAGTGATATCTAAAAATGTAGAGAGGCCGTTTAGTAAAATAAACAATAGCTTTCAATTGGTAAAAATTTAAGGGGCACTCAAATTGATGCGAATTTTTCTTTGATATCGTTAGATGTAGTTTCATTGTTCACGAATGTTCCAATTGATTGTGCGATTAAGAGTATAGAGAAAAGATGGAATGAAATTAAGAAAGGTATTAATATTCCTAAAAAAGAATTTATTGGAGCGGTATCTTTTGTATTAGAATCAACTTTCTTTG